GTAACGTCTTTACAAGTTGGTATTAAGCTGACCAGCAAATGTTCACATATATATATTTAATTTAATATTGTTTATTAAAAACATTGGAATATCTAAATACATTTAGGAATTTTTATATATAATGAGGAATCTCATCAAGAGAAAATTAAATAATTATCCCAACTATCATGAATGAATTATTTTGAATACATGTATAGAGCTTTAATGAAATGTAAATTACATAAATATGAATTGGCTCAATTAGCTAATTTATGTTATGAGGAAGTAAATGAAGCATGTTATTTAGTACCAAGGTAATCTATTTATGTATATATGATGGTAAATATTGATTCTATAATTAACTTGCTTCGAGAGTTTAAGAAGAAATCCATGCTATGGTTGATCAAAATATCACGTGATGTGTCGAATTTTGATCTAACCAATCAATTCTTGAAATTGTCGTGAAACAACAATAAAATCTAAATTTTTTTCTTTTGACAATTATAATAATGATTATTTTATTTTTAAGATATTGGAGATTTTCTTGGGATGATTTAAATCTACACAAATATAATAATTTAAAAGAACATATTATTTCAATAAATTTAATAAAGAGGTTTTACTTTTGTAGAAATTTTTATAAAAAAAATCATTGTTATCAAAAAAACCATCATTATTATAATAACAAAAATCATTATTTTTTTTCAAATCAAAAACAAATTTTAAATAATTTTAAAAAACAATTCATCTTTAATATTTCTGATAATCATAAAAATTATAATACTGGTAGAATTAATAGTAGTAATAGTAAGATCAATAATAGTAAGATTGATGAATCATCATCATCACCATCATCAGCAACATCAGCAATTATCCCACCTGACCCTGAAAAATATCATTTATGGAGGTTTAAATTATATGTATTAGCAAATAAATTAGAAATAGCTATATTGATTTATACTCAAGGATTAAAAAATGGGATAATATTCAAAAGTAATATAATTCACAAGATAGTTAGAATAATTCTTCAAAAACTAAATAGCCCATACACAACAATAAACTTCTACAATGAGTTATTGTTATCAAACGTAGAATTCACCAATAGGCCAAAAAGGGAATTAGCAATTATAGACAATTCAATTAAATCTTTCTCATCAAAAGAAATTTATTTAACATATGAAAAATTAAGAAAACAAAAAAAAACCAAAAAATTACACCAATTAATTTATCAATAAATTTTGGGTCAATTAACAGATGAAATAAAGTGTATACTATCTTTCATGCAAATTTGGTACCTTCTGCAAGTTAGTATGATCACAAAAAAAACACATATAACCAATCAATATGAACCTTAGACTTGATTTTCTTAGAATGTCATACATCCCAAAAATACAAGTCTATTTTCATGTTCTTTCAACACGAGTCAATAATTACTTGGCATTCCTTTTTTCCTTTTTTAGTAAAGATTTACTATTGTATTATGAATACCGTGGTGCATGTAGTGATGGGCATAAAAATTATCTTTAAAATGATCAAGTTATTAAGTAATTAATAACTCTATTAGTGACTTATTAAGTGTTAAAAATCACAAACTGAAAAACTTTTATGGGCAATAAATTTTTGCAAAATAACAATGGTGCTTCCAAATTACTTGCTCAGAATGAAATAGTGAATAATAACTAATTAATAACTTGGGATTATTAAATGTATGGTTAAAAATGCCCATCACTACACTGGATATGATCTGGTTCCAATATTTTTGAATTTGAAATACAAAATCAAAAAATTCTAAATTCAAAAAAAAGATTCTTTTAAATTATGTCAAGCAATTTTGATTCTCAAAGTATTTATTTGTCAAATTCTAAGAGTGCTGGAAGACTTCCCAACATTGTTTGAACACGTTTTAATAAAGGTATAGAAAGATATCCTGGAAAATATGACTCCTTCTCTAACAAAAGGAAGTCCACAGCTGATGCAATAACATTTAGTGAATAAATGTTCAAATCCGCTTATCACAATTTATTAATTTTATTATAAATATCAAAATGATAATTTTTTGGATGAAACAAGTTCTTTGATAACTTCTAATTCTTGGAACAAGGAGTAAGCATAATACTGGTCACCTGACATGGGATACTAATATGGGATGGGATACAGGATATGGAATATTAATACGGGATTGGGATTTTTTACTGATCCCATGCCAAGTCAAAACACCTTAATGAGAGCAATAGAGCCTGACAATTCAGATTATTTACAAAACCAATTGATTAATATTGAAGTTTGCTGTCATAAAAATTCCTTGTCTTATTTTTTTTTTTTTTTACATTCAAGTATAATATGATTCTATCAATTTCTTCTTCTTTAACTAAATATTTTTCATTTCCAATAATTTTTTAATTTTTTGATTTAAAGAATTTGCTATATTTTGATTGATTTGCCTTCTGAACCTATCAAAATTTTCTATTAAATAAATTGATAAGTTGAATGAATAAATCGAAGCATGATTCAATAAATAAACAGCCTTTTACTTGTTGAGTTTGATTTTTCACATAAATACTTTGGTCAATTCTTAATCTATTGTTGTTTATTTTCCATCCAACGTTTTCCTATCATATGCACTGATTTTGTTTGAACCCCAAAATCCAGTACGGTATGATCATAACGTTATGAATACTTTATACTAGCA